CTTGACAACAATAGGAATACTCCTGAGGAAGACCTTGATGAAACACCCAGGATCTTGTAGTAACATTGGCCCCTTCCACACGGGGGGGAATTTGAGGTAGGCAAAGTGCAGATTTTGAAAACCGCACCAAAAGAGACACGCGGTGGCGGGATCACACAGATCCCGTGAGCCGCTTCGCAGTTGCTCCCCGGCACGATCAGATGCCGGAAAGAAAGCCACGGAAGGGAGCGCGAGGCTGCCGGCTGCACATGTGTGCGCATGCGCAGTTTGGCTGGGAGCCTCGATTGCTCTGGAAGACGGGCGTCCGGCGCTCCGACGGCCACGCTTGATGTGGTGTTTCTGGTAAGTCCTGCTCTGTAGGTGTGTTGTTTTTTTACAGCGGATTTTCAGCCTGATGGGCCAGATCAGGGATGGGTGCGCGTCACTTCCCAGATGTTGCGGTGAGATCGTGCCCGTTTGCTGTGCCCCGATCCGTCCCTCTCCCGGGCCAAAACCTTCCGTGTGACCGGGGCCATCATTTATTTATTTTATTTATGTATTATTTGTATTTATAACCTGCCCATCCCACGAGTGGGCTCAGGGCAGGTGACATCATAAAACAATACAATGAATACAGTTAAAAATTAAACAATTTAAAACAGTAATAAAAATTAAAACACAATCACAATTCAGGGAAGTAAAATGGTTGTGGGAGGTTCCCTGGCATATTATTTAGATTGATAGGTGGGTGACAACAACCTCAGGGAGGCCATGTGGGGGCATCTGCTATCTCAGCCAAAAACCTGGTGGAACAGCTCCATCTTGCAGGCCCTGCGGAATCATGAGGATGGACTTCTCTTTGTAATATTATAAGGGTGTACTTCCCTATAAAGTGACATAAGATTTATAATTTGATTGTAAAATGTTTTACTAAATATGTTAGCCAGCATATCACAATGTTTGTTTGTTTGTATTTTCTGTAATAGAAACTCTGAGCCCAGGTTGCTTTTATCTAAGTTAAAAGAGCAACTGATTTTCTTTCTTATTATTTAAGTTGGGGTCTGATTTTAAATGAGAATACATTGTTCTGGACTATTATGATATAAGTGTGAAATATGCATTATAACCCAATCTTGAGTGACAGGGGATTCAAATACTACATTTGAGAGAGTCAGTTAAGGGTGGCAGTTGAAAGAGGAGTCAGAACAGTGTAGGAGAATTAAGCAGAGTGAGTGGATCAAGGAGGATACTGAATTAAGGAAGTCAGACAAGTAGCCCTTCCCTGGGGAAACTCGCTCCTAGTAAAGAGGGGTGATCCCTATCAAGTGGTTAAATGGGAAAATTGAAACTTATATTCCTGCCTTCACAAGCTTAAGTATTTTTGAGATGAAGAAGTTTATGCTTACTTATTTTAGCAGTGACTGCCAAGAGACTTCTTTCCACAATTTTAAAGACCTGTCTGTATAAAAAAACAGCTGCTTGATTGTAACATACTGTCTACTGTTTATATTTGTACAAAATTACCTCATTCCTGTTGCTTATTCACCTGCCACATTCCAAACCTGATACCTACTTGACCTTTTCCCCACAAAAAAGAAATAAAGCAGTTTGTTTTGAGTTACTATCAGGGTCTCATGTGCCATAATCTGACATATATAAATGAAAGATATTTATTTATTGTTCCCCAGTTCCCTAGGCTGGATCAGCATATATTGATATACATTTAAACAACTGGGTGGGAAAAACAGAGAAACAAAGAAGAAGAAAAAGTGACTGCTCAGACAAAAGAAAAAAATAAAGGGAAGTGGGGGAAATCATTAAAATAACATTTAATTTTCATGAGATACAATTACTCCAAATGAGTGTTAATGGAACATTTTGTTTTTCTCAGTACTTCAACTGCTGGGGCCTGGGTTCTGGTTCAGTCAGCAAATTAATTGTTGAAGCCAACAGCTGTTACATCTGTGAGTTACTGCAAACAAGGATTGCAAGAGATGAAAAAGTCCAGACAGGGTTGTGGCAATTTTCCTGTATTGGTTTTGTTTTCACCTACACTAATAAGCATGATTATAAAGTTTGACACTGAATGCATTTAAGCATTTAGAGTTGCAAGACCTAGCAGCAATACAAGTTAGCTCTAATGAGTCTATTCAGAAACTGTTCATTGATATTAAGTGCTCTGAAATGAGGGAGAAGGATCCTATCACAATGTAGACACTTATGTGATTAGAATTATACAGTGCAGCACCACTACCATATAAAGATAGAATTAGCCATGTAAGCACTGGATTCATTAGCAAAATATCCTTCTCTTTTCATTTTTAATGTGTTGTATACTCTGATATTAAGTGGCTATTAGGTGATCCAAATATATTGGGGATTGAAATTTCAATTACAGGTTGGGTTGTATATGGAAAGAAACCTTGTTTCCTGCAATTTGGTGTTGAAGCAAAACTCTTGAATAGTAGACTGTTCTGATTCTAAATAATAGAACCAATCAAAATGGGAACAAAATGGATGTTGTTTCCTTTATGCCAGACATGAGCTATGATTATGAGGGACTTGACAGACTATTTGGCTTTAAAAATTATATTTTTAAAAAATAGGGTTATATTCTCTTCAAGGATCAGGATTTGTTATTTGTTGTTTTTGATCCCACGCCTCTGAAATATCAGATAGTGATTATGATTAGGACTACTTCTCATCTATTTTATTTTATGTGCTTTATCTGCTACTGGCCCACAGAAACCTGTCCTTTGTTTACTGTGTCTTAGTTAATTAAAACCTATCCCTCATTACCTCTTGGTCTTGGACATATGAATCTGCTTTATACTGAGTCAGATCATTGTTTTATTGAATCAGCATATTGTGTAATGTGATGGACTGCACTTTAAAAGCTCGTAAGTTCTTTATTAACATGTGACACACTGTGAAGGGTTAATGCCCCACCAAGCCAGAGAGCCTTTGAGTGACAGGCTGCTCAAATTAATTTCATTGGATAGCACCAACTAAGAAGAAAGAGTTGGGAACTGACTGCTGAAGAGAATTCAGTTTAACAGTGTCTGAGGAATGGGAAGTTTGGGAAGGAGGAGTGGGAGGATTGCTGAAGACCCCCATTCAGGCCAGAAAAGGGACAGAGCTCCTAGTTTAGAGAAGTAATTCCCTGCCCAGTTGAAAAGGGAGATAGCTCTAAAGAGTGTAATGATCCCTGGTGTGTTTAGAGAAGGATTTGGGGTACTTGATTGTGTATCCCTGCCTTTTGAAACTTGAAGAGTCAGTTAAACTTAAGAACTTATACTGGAGTGTCTAGCAGACCAAAGCCTCTCATCTCAAAGATTCTAAGACTTTGTGAAAAGCTTAAAACTCTTACTTGCTGGAAACTGACTATGAACTGGAGTTTGTGAATTTACTAAGATACCTCAGAATTATTATTGATTCACCTCAGACATTTTACCCCTGATTTCAGCTGACCTTTTCCTCTCTGTGTTGAATAAAATATTTTGTTTATTTTTGAACTTTCAAAAGCCTCTCATGTGCCATTTTCAGAAGCATAAGTTTAAGAAGGGGATCTTGTCTCTTCCCTCAAGTTCCTGTGCTGAGCCAGCATCAAAATATAATAATATGGCAAGGTGGGAGAGCCATAAACCTTCAGATTAGAAGAAAATAGATAAAAGGGGCTGCTAAGCCAGAAAGAAAGGGAAAAACAGAGGGGAAATCCTGTGTGTGAGGGGGGGAAAGGGGCAATTTCACCATATCTACTTAGACTGGTAGAGGATTTCCAGAATCTTAGGTCTTTAACAAGATACAGCAATGACTTGAGGGATCAGAGGTTTGATTCAGTAACAGTTGGCCCTTTTCAGAGGGTTGCTTAGTAACCTTAATTGCTTCTAATACTGGGGGGGGGATTCCTGTATCATCTTACAGACAAGGAGGGGCAGAGGCTCCCTCCCAAGGTGGATAGCTTACTTATTATGTATAGTAGTGGGTCTTACTTAATGTTTATTGTATCACTTTGTAAGCGGGAGGGTGTTAAGGCACTATGCCCTCCAAGAAGGCTGCAGCAGGAAAAAAGCAATTTTTGCAATTTTATATAGTCTAAAAAGTTATATAAATCTTAATAGTGTTCAGGGGTCATTTGGGGGGGACGCGGGGGGATGCCATCCCCCCGGGTGAGGTGCGGAGGGCAGGGCCTGGAGCTCCCTGCTGGTGCCCACTGGAGGTCGCCGCCGGCTGTGGGAAGGACACACTTCCGGTGATGTCAGGGGGTGTGGCATATGCTAATGAGTTATGCTAATGAGTCCCCCTAGATCTTTTTCTACAAAATGACCCCTGATAGTGTTCATATCACAGGATTGCTTGTGTGTTTTTCCTGTTGGATACCTGTGATCTCTCTTGTTTTTTGCTGAGCTTTCTCTGCCTCTGCAGTTTCTTCCCACTTAATCCCAGGAACAATCAATTCGCAAAGGAGAAGTAAGTCAAGAGGCAATGGTTATTGCTTCCCTTAGAAATCTTTAGAATTCTCTGAGTTTGGCTTATATCTGGTCACATTTGATGTAATGGATACTAATATTTTCCTAATATATCCCCACTGCCTCTGAGGAATAATGAGCATAAATGGTACTGAACATATATATGCATATATCTGTCTGAATCTGATATACCTCATGTCCATAGCATTAGTTTGTTGCACCAACAACTCTTTGTATAAGCAAGTACAAAAATAGTGTACTTATTTCTTACAAAAAAATAGAAATTAAATAAAAACAAGTATAATTGTCCTGATCCCATTGCCATAATGCACATTTTTGAAGAGTTAACAGGATCAGAATTAACTTTTCCTCCCTCATTTTGTAGGTGTATCTTATATTGTCATAAATCTGCATCCATATGTACTCAGTGTTGAGCTTTTTGCATGGAATCTTAAAGTATGAAGAGAAAAAAAGCTTTGATTTACAGGAGAGAGGTAATACCATAATTAAAACCACATAGCAAAAGTTGACTTTTAAAAATATCCCTTTTAGGCTTTTTCAGGAAACACAAATGCAGACAGTGTGGTGTATCATAAACTCCAGCATTCCATCAAAGCAAGATTTCTCCAGTTTATCCCTTTGGATTGGAACCCCAATGGCAGGATTGGAATGCGAATTGAGGTCTATGGTTGTGCTTATCGTAAGTAACAGCTCTTTTTTAATAAGCTGAATTATTTATTCAGTTATAGAAGCTTTTCAAAATGAAAATGAAATTCAATTTGTCATAGTAATTGGCTTTGTCTGTTACAAAGACATTTTACACGAGTTTTGTAGTTTTGTATTCTGTAGCAGTGTTTCGATTTTCTTTATTATCTTGCTGTTTGCATATGGAGGTCAGTGGTACCATGTAATGAACTAGAATATTTCTCAATCATACTAATTTAAGGGAAAACTTCACTTATATATTTTCTCTTGCAAATTTAGATTTTGCCAGCATAATAGATCCCCCCCATTAGTTTTAAATGTATCACTTGGTCCACATTTGTCCTCCAGAAAAATCCCAATCTTGGCTTCATAAAGTAATTTTAACGGAATGTTGGCTACCAAAAATAAACAAACAATAAGTGCTGCTTTTCAAAATCATACATAATTCATATAATAGAAGAAAATTTATTTTAGTTTATTTATTATTAAGATTTATACCCCGCCCCCCCCACACAAATGACTATTGTGCTAACAGTATAAGCCAGTGTTAGTGCTACTGTGGATGAAACCGATTTTTGTACTAATTTCAAAAACCATTGTGTCAGAAATTGAATTGTCTTTAATTTCCAGTATGATTACATTTTTGGTAGACTTCAGGAACATTTCTGACCAAAGCATAGCTTTTGGGAACTTTTAAAGCCCTATAGGCACAACTGGATTTCCTGGTCCCAGTTTAATAATTTAATCAATACGGAATTGGAACATGCTCATTTTGGTACAGTGTTTAGTTTCTGTAGCTCCTTTTCAAGTCCCTCCTCCTTCCATTACCAATGTGAGACTGCAAAAATCAACTTTTTTGTGATTATTTATACTTTGATTGCATCAGTATTTGTGTGTGTGTGTGTTTACTGATACAAACATACACTTATCTTTGCTGGCAAAATACTATGGATAAAGAATTTCAATATATCAGGCTTCATAAACACATTAGGACTGCTTCTTTGCCCTGGCAACCCCCAAATGAAGGCACAAGACATCAAGTGTGGGTTCACCTTATTTATTATTTTCACTGTATCCTGCTTACATCACTGCTTATGATTTTCAGGGCAGGCTGTTCTAGATAGTCCCATGATCTGTCTTCTGGACAGATCCACCCCGGCTCGAAACATGACCAGCATTTCTGCCAGCCTTGCTTATCACTGTTTGCATAGCCATATGTGCAGAGAGGTGCCCAGCTTTATCCCCGTCCCCTGATATACCATAAGGCTACTGTCAGGTTTAAAAGATGCTGCTCAGCACCAAGGGTGCTCCTTGTCAGCACACCCCGCTGCAAGGCATGTGATGGCCTGTTTCAGATGAACTCTCAGAGTACTTGCTGATTAATCTTACCTATCCATAGCAACCCATTCTATTTCTTCCATTCAACGGGGTTAGCCTAGCTTAACACTCTCTGCTCCACTTGCCAACTGTTACGTCATGCAGGCCTTGATGAAGACCAACTGGGTAAATGTCACACCATTCCTCGGATAAGTGGACACCATTATTTCTATACATGTGTGGCATATCATGGAGGATAAAAGGATGGGGTACAAAAGCTCCCACACCGCATTTTTGATAGCATTGTTGGCATTAAGCTCAGCCTTCTCAATGGCCAGGGGTAATGAGGTTTAATGAGGCTCCTCCAGACTTACTTTGGGGGGAGCTCCAACCAATCCAGCAACACTCTGGGGCAGTCTGCCTGAATTCCCTTGAGGTTCCTAATCACTCTTATTACTAGCACAAGACTGGATAACAGCCTCAGGTCTGCACCTGCAATGTTGTGTGGACACATCCCAACAAGATCATAGTGTGGTCAGCCTGGATCAATCTGTACCTGGGCATCACAGTGCCTGCTCTTTGGAATGGAGATTTTCAGGAGATGCTGCACACCTTGTTTGTTTCCCCAGCCTTTTGATGGGGTATGAATCAGTAGGCATCTTTTGTGGGGTGGAGGGAGGGACTAGCTGTTTTTATTTCATATAGGATTAATCTGTTTTAATAATTACCTGTAGACTGCCTTGAGTGAAGAGGTAGAAAGTATTTTAATAAAGAAATAAAATGTAGGTAAGCGGAGAAAATATTCAAATGAGCTGAAGGATCTGAAAGCTGCGTCAAACTATGCATGTGTGGTATTTCTACAAAATTCAGATTTTTTTTTTAATGGAACAATTGATGATTCCTAATGTATCCATTTCCTGTTAGAGACAAAACTAGGTAATTCAGAACTCCACATCCTTAAAAGTAATTCAGTTGGAAAGAGTTTCAGAACTATTCATAAAGCAATCATGTTATATATTTGCTTAACACATTTTACAACATGAAACACAATCCAACAGTAACAATTACTAGAAATTATGAAGCAATGGATTTAATACAAACAAACTCAAATTAAGAGAATCTGACGTAGCCTTTTCTCTCTCAATTTATTTTAACTCTATGCATTACTTCATATGTTCAGCTACGGAAATACTAGCTGGTGTGAAGGAGCATCACAAGTCCACTTCATCTCTGTGCCTCCAGGTGAACAGGTCCTCCATGTGAGCACCTGATTGTGGAGACTCCCTATTCACTCAAAAAAGGAAGGAAGAATCCAAATGATTCTCTCAGGCACTCTCACAGAGGGCCTGATTCATACCAAAAACTATTTCACAGTGAACAAAGGGGCTGATTGCAGTCCTGCTCCTTCATTATGGGAATTTCAACATGACACTAGCTGTATGCATGAATAAAGGCAGTATTCCAGAGTGTTTGGAGGAGAACTAAAAGTTGTCTTTTCTGAAGACTGTGAATCCACTTACAGTTGCCTTTGGGAGAGAATTGAGACCACGTCACACAACTGGCTCAAGACAGTGATGCAGGGGAAGGAAGCCAAGGAAGGCAGATTCAGGGAAATAGAGCATTCAAGGATATTGAAGGAGCTCTGAACAGGAGCTTAGAGACACTCTAGCAATAGCGTTGCTGGAAGGCTGTGTTGCCTGAGTAGATCTGCCAACTCTGGGATGGGAAATTCTTAACGATTTTAGGGTGGATCCTGGGAACAGTGGTCTTTGGGAGGACCTCAGAAGGTTATAATGCCATCAAGCCCCCTCTCCAAAGCAAATATATTTTTCCAGGAGAATATCTGGTCTTCTGTAACCAGAGGTCATTTCGGGGGGGATCACGGGGGATCGCAGTTCCCCCGGGTGAGGTACGGGGGTGGGACACATGACAAAGCCCCGCCCCCGGCTTCGGGCAGCCCCGCTTCCGGTCCTCATTCAGCCAGGAGGAGGCAGGAGAAGAGGGAGGGTAAGTTGCTTCCTCCCTGCCTCTCCCCACCCCTGCCTGCCTGGGGCCAGGGAGGGCCTTCGGGGTGTGGCCTTATGACACACTTCTGGTGATGTCAGGGGGTGTGGCATATGCTAATGAGTTATGCTAATGAGTTCCCCTAGCTCTTTTTCTACGAAATGACCCCTGTCTGTAACAATATGTCTTTGTGAGGAAAATTACAGCAGAATCTTTTTTGCTAAGTTCTTTGCACACAAAAATGGAATATGCTCTGTGCAGTTGCTGTTCAAGGGGCCATCACTCCACTTACAGCAAACATGAATGGGGCCTCTCAAGCACAGTTGGAACTGAATCGTCGGACTTGGCCTCAAGTCTCTTGGGTAGGGTGGAGCCTGGAGTTGTCCCAGAATTACAACTGATTTCCAGACTACAGATATCAGTTCCCCTGGATAAAATGGTAACTTCAAAGGGTGGATTCTGTAGCCTTAAATCCCTACTAGGCTCCTTTCATTCCAAAAACTGCCCTCCCTCAGCTCCATCCCAAATATCCAGGAATTTCCCAATCCAGAGTTGGTAAATAAGAGTAGGTGTATTCAACTATGCAGTTCCTTTGAGTGGATGACATTTCAGTTTGCAGAAGAGAGGATGGGAATTCCTCCGCCACTGCACACCCTCACTTTGGCTCCTGTGCTGACCCACTATGGCCAAAATTTCAGGATGCTCAGTGGGCTGCAGCAGGAGGGGAAATCAGGAAAGTCCTGTTCTACAAAGTTCACACATGGTTGGATCCACCCCATTGTTCTCTTGTAAATTATACTTTATAAGTACTTTATAAAGTAGCTCAGTGTTGTTTTCCTCATATTTCAGATGGGTGGTTGAGGCTGACAAAGAGTTGTTTGCCTAAGATGTCTTAGTTGTTGTTGTTGTTCAGTCGCACAGTCGAGTCCGACTCTTTGCGACCCCATGGACCAGATCACGCCAGGCCTTCCGGTCTTCCGCCGTCCTCTGAAGTGTGCTCAATTTCATGTTCGTTGCATCTATGACACTGTCTAACCATCTCATCCTTTGCCGTCCCCGTTTTCTTTGACCTTCAATCTTTCCCAGCATTAGGGTCTTCTCCAGTGAGTGCTCCCTTCTCATTTGGTGGCCAAAGTATTTGAGCTTCAGTTTCATTATCTGGCCTTCCAGGGAACAGTCAGGGTTGATTTCTTTTAGGATTGACTGATTTGTTCTTCTTGCAGTCCAAGGGACTCTCAAGAGTCTTCTCCAGCACCATAGTTCAAAAGAATCTATTCTTCGGCGCTCGGCCTTCCTTATAGTCCATATAGGTGTCTTAGTAAGTCTGGGCAAAAGCAAGTCTTGAACTGAGAACTTTATGGAACACAGCTATACCAAATTCCTGGAATACTATGCACTCTTCTTAGAAATAAAATAACCTAACAAGCTTACATTTGTCCATATTGCAAACACAGCACAAATGAAGCTGTTGGCTGGGACCCTGCCATTCAACTCAGCAAAGTTTGAAGATTTTTTCCATACTAAGGAGTCTTCCTGCAGCCTAAGCTGTTTTTCATCAACAGAAGACCTACTTAAACCAGATTAAGTTTCCTTAAGCTTGAGGAAAGCTTCAAACTTTGCAGAGTGGTGCAGTAATATTAATAGTATTTCTTTTAATAAATTAAGTTCACATTT